CCCCCCGCTGCCTCGCATTTCCTGGAGCCAAGCCTGGCCATAGCCACCGCCACGCATGCACGGACATGGACACGGCCATGCGTGCACAGACACACATGCACAGACACGCATGGACACGGACATGCATGCGTGGACACAGCCGTGGATGCACAGACATGCATGCACAGACATGGACACAGCCATGCATGCACAGACACTGACATGGACATGCATGCATGGACACAGACACACATGCACGGGCATGGGCACAGCTGTGCATGGATGGACATGCATGCCTGGACATGGACACAAACACGCATGGAGAGATACGGGCATGGCTGTGCACACATGGACATGGTCATGCATGCATGGCCCCAGCCTCAGCTGCTAGCACACACCCAAACCAGTGCTGCTTCCAGCCGCACGCACACCCGCACCCAGCAGACACACCTGTGTGTACACATAGGGCCGAGCACCCACGATGCAGCTCAGTTAGAAATAGTCAGACTTGGAGGTTGGCCCCATTGCAGTGGGCTAGCGCTGTGTCCCACAATGGGACCCAGGTGTCTGGGTACTCCAGCTTGCGTACTGCACCCTGTGTCCCCTCCATGTGTGTGCCCGGAGCCCCGTAAAATCCCAGCTCATCCCACATCCCTTGGTGGACACCATGGTCTTCCTCAGGGGCAGCCTGGTTCCCATCACCACCATGGTCCCCAGGGTCATCCTGGTCCCCATCACCACCCTGGTCCCCGTGGTCACCCTGATCCCCATCCCAGTGACCACCCTACTCCCTGGGGCCATCCTGGTCCCCATTATCACACAGGTCCTTAGGGTCACCCTGGTCCCCATCCCCACCCTGGTCCCCAGGGACACACTCATCCTGGTGGCCACCTTGATCTCAGTCCTAGGGGCAGCCCTGGTCCCTGGGACAACCCTGGTCTCCATCACAATCCTGGTTCTAGTGGTTACCCTCATCCCCAAGGCCACCCTGATCCCCTCACCACCCTCATCTTGATGACCACCTTTGTCCCCATCACCCCCCTGGTTCCCATCATCCCCCCTGTGCCTGGGGCCACCCTGCCCCCCAGGGCAACACCTTTCTTTTGCCGGAGGCCACCGAGGTCCTCAGCAAGGTTGTCCCGCTCGATCTCCAGGCGGGCCTTGGCGGTGGCGAGCTGCTCCACATGGCGCCGCAGGTCGCGCAGCTCCTCCTGGTAGACATCGGCCAGCCGCGAAGGCTCCTGGTCCCGCGCCTGATTGAGCTCCACCACCAGCACCTTGTTCTGCTGCTCCAGGAGCCGGACCTTCTCAATGTAGCTGGCGAAGCGGTCATTGAGCTCCATCATCTCCACCTTCTCGTTGGTGCGCGTCTCCCTGAACTCCGAGTTGAGTGCGTCAGCCAACGAGAAGTCCATCTTGCTTGGCCCCAGGCGGGAGCCGGAGCGGAGGCCAAGGTGGACGCTCCTGGCCCGGGCAGTGGCGAATTCACAGAAGAAACAGATAG